GGTACGACGAGAAGCAGATTAGTCTTTATACACTTTTCAGTTCCAGGAAAGGTCTGTTATGATCACAGAGAATGGAAAAAAAAAATAGGACGATCGTTATCTTCAGTGCAACTTGCATAATGCTGTTGCAAAAGAAAAGCTAGAAAACTAAGAAAGGAGAGAAAAAGTGGTTCTTCGACATGACAGAAAGCCAAAGTGAAAGATACGCTGTGTCGGTCCATGGTCATGGTCTTTTGCATGACTTCTAGGGTTTGAGACAAGATCCTTATGTGGGATAAGTGTTGTGGCTCCACTGGCTCTAGTGTAAACTCACCACTTTTTGAATGTTGAGGACCCAGTCCCATTCTGTTTGCCTTAAGGAAACTTTTCTAAGGAATGGAGAATGCCAATATGGAAAAAGATGTTTCAATGGTGGGTACAAGCACAGGATTCGAAACACCTGAGATAAGATTCAGCTTTGGCACAGGGTTCCTACACAAACATAGGTATGCCTTCTCTGGGTTCAGTTTCTCATGGATAAAACAGTGATCCTTAAGGTATGCTGTAAGGATAAGTGTTCTAAAGAGTGAGGCGCTGGGGCACGCAAATATTTGATAGCTACACCAGGAAAAGATGAAGAACGCTAACCATTGTCAAGATGGTGAGCAGTGTTAAGTGGGTGTGTGCGAGCCATCCCTTATGCAGGGATGTGCCATCTTGATATTCTTTGTTTACTGAAAGATGCAGGTTTACTGGATGCAGGTCGCTTGTATTCCAGGAAGCCAGCAATGAAAAACAAGCAGCTTATCTAGTCCTGCAACCCCCCTGCTTCCCTTCCCTTCCCTTCAGCAGCAGAGAGCACGATAAAAGCTGAGACAAGTCTCTGTAGGAACCAAAAGCTGTGAATCTTCCTCTCAGTCTGTCTGGCCAAAATCCCTTCATTCGCAGGGGGAATTTAGGCCAGAGATCACCAGTTCTAGCTCTCCGCCAGAATAACAGAGGAGAGGGTTAGAAAGGAAGGAAAACAGCCATAACTCAGCAAGTACAGTCAGAAAGAGAGAGTAGGAGATGCACAAAATACATAGTCCTCTGCTATGTTTCCAGCTATATCCCCACCCTCCTGCCCCTTTCAAATTTCCCCCACCATGACATTGGGTGGTATTTTTTTGTCACTTATAAACAAGGATATTGTTTGCCACTTAGAAGAAGAAAGAAGCCTGGGATAGGAGTAGATATTTGCTGCTTTGCAAAGGGGTTGCAAACTCATTCCATCCCCGTTCGATTACAGATTGGTTTTCCAGCCTTAGGATAAGACACTGACAGACACTCCGGGGTTCCCTGATGCAGCTTTACTGTGGGACACCCCCCAAGACACAGACAAGCCAGTACAGCACTGCTCCACAGCTTGCTAGAACTAACAAGACTTGAAATAAGAAGGGGCAAGTTCAAAAGTAAGAAAGAATTAGAGAATGGAGAAAAACAGAGGTGAAAACAAAAAAGGTGCAGCTGAAGTTTGAGGTGGTTAAAATGAAAAATGGGACTGTGCCATTCACAGGTGGATAGATAGATCAATCAATTGATCTCGTGTACACTGACACACTTTGGAGCTATAATTCACTGCTGGGGCAATTATTCCAACATAGCAGTGGCAGGAGTTATATGGGAGACAGAATTCAGGGGCTTTTAGTCAGGGGAGAGCTGAACAACAAAGGAGTACAAAATGGAAAATGACATACCCCAGTAAAGATACATGGGATATAAGTTATGTCTGTGTAGTTGCAGAGCACAGAGGGAAAGATGGACAGATAGATAAATAGACACATAAAAGTCTGAGTTTTGGTTGTGCAATCGTTTGCCGTCTGACCTTATCCTCCCCTCCTCTCCACTACTCTTTAGAGGGAAGAGTGTTTAGCATTATTTGTGTCCCAGTCTCTTTGCTATGTTACTGTTGACTTCTTTATCCCCCCACACTAAGTGCTGCTGCCTCTGGAAGGTGCAAGGAGTTTTTCTTCATAAGCCTTGATGTGTTCAAGAGAGGGCTGGGCTCATTGCCGCTGTGAGCCTGACAGGGGCTTTAACAGCCTCACAACACCGGGACAAATAGCTCCTGGTCCCTTAACCCTTCTCAGCTTTGCAAAGCAAGGCCTAGCACTGTTGTTCCCATTGCAAGGGCTTTAGACAGTCTTTCAGGCTGAAATCCTCTCCGTGGTGGCTGGGCAGAGCGGAAATCCAGGGGCTGGATCAGATTGGCCTAATGCTACAGCAGCTTAAGCAGTCTGTTTTACCAGAGATTATGGTTTCACTTACACAGAGCGCCTGAAAAATGCTGTGGTTTAGGAAGGATTATAGCTGAAAATTCCATGCTTTAAAAGAGAAATAAAGCAGGGGAGGGACTAGGAAACCCAGTGTGCCTGAGGGCTGTGCAAACAGGATTAACCTCTGCCCATAGCACCTCTTGCTTCTGCCCACCCATGCTTCCTGCATCCATCCCCTTCCCTGCCCTTTCCTCCCCAGCAGCTCCTACACCTTTGCCCTCTTGCACAACACAGAGAGATGAAAAAGGAGCCTAGAAAATGCCCAGGACCAGAGTATCCCTAGTTTATTTAGCTATGACTGTCAAATGGCTTCCTTGAAAAATATCACTGCACTTGCAGCTCCTGAAAGCCAGGGGAACTTTTGGCCCTCTGCCTGCAGATAGATCCATTCATCCAAATTATCTAGTATCAACATTATTTGGATAAAGGCTTCAGCACTCCCAGGTTGCTGGTGGTGACTCTGCCTGCTTGGCCTGAAGGTAAATCTGCGTACTCCTTGCCATCTGACAACAGAGAATGCTGGAGAAAAATAGCCCTGGGGGTTCTCCATCTACAGAGACCAGCACTGGTATGTGAAGCCTTACTGGTAGGACTGTAGGAGAGTATACAGTTGTAAAAAGCAGAAGCTGGGCACCAACATGCTGCCTACTCTGGTGTTTTAATTAACTGTGCAACAAGAACCACATACTCCAGCTTCTACTCCCCGTATCTGCCACAAAAGGTCTTTGCCAAATGGAGCTTCCTATAGCAAAAAGGGAAGAGAAATCACAATCCTTACTTAGCATAGCAGAGACTTCACATAAGTGAACTAAATAAAGAGGAACTGTACACCTTTTCGCCAGGAGTGATCCTTCCCAGTCATCTGAACCATGAACGTATGTCTCTGCTGCAAAGGCGTCTCAGTGATCAGAGACCTTTGCTGGTCATCCCAGTTAAGAGGTACTTGGAGAAGAACACAGATGGCAAACTATCATTTTTTCCCCGGTAGCAAACCTTTAGGAAACAAATGCCTCAGGATAAAGAGCATTCACAGATAGAAACTGCCCAGCCCTTTATTGTCTAGGTGAGCACTGCAGCCTCGCAATAAGGTGCCTAGAGTTAATTAAGCCAGTTCTACATTAATGAAGTCAGATTTATGACCTAATTATATGTCACATTTATATTTCTCTGTATAAATCAAAACCACCAGAACTAACTTATTTCATAAGCCATTGGCAACACTTGTCATCATGGCAGAGAGATGACTTTCCTTTACTGACTGTAATTTGTTTACCTGAGGGTGGATGGTTTGCTAGACAATTTGGATCGGATCTGATCATATCATCCATACTTTGCTTTCAGGTGTTCAAATACAGGACTCTATAGCTGCTGACCCAACCACAGTGGGTGTTCTGGAGTATCCATGCTTTAGGTCACTGAGCTTTCCAATTCCCAAGCCTCTTACTTGGTTGCCAAGTTAGGAGCAGTTGCAAACTGTGCCTATTCAAATCTGTACATCAAAAATGGAGGTCAAGTGCAAACAACAATATAAATAAGACCTTTTATAAGTCTCACACATTTCCTCTCCTCCATTATACCTCTCTGTCAAGGTATCTGTCTGGCAACACTATACTGTGGGAGCAACCGGAGTCAGTACTGACTGGTTTTGCAGTTAAAGCTTCAAAGGGTGCCACTGAGAACAAGATTGATTGATCTGTTTACCCACCTATTAATTACACAGTCCCATTATTACTTTAACCACCTCAAATTTCAGCTACAACCTTTTTTGTCAAAGCTTTTATGGAGTTTGGGTTGAGAAGCTTTGGCCATTACCCTGAGCATCCTATTTAACAGATGCTCATAATAATGCTGCTTTCCTGGGGAAGGTTACCCTGGGTTGGAAGAGACAAAGCAGTTTAATTCCCTGGGTCAAACTGCATAAGTGTAGCATCGTCACATGCCTTCGGCCTACGAGAGAAAGCAGCAGGAAAGGGAGCACAGAAGCTTCAGAGCATTCTTCTCCTTCCCAACCCTATGCTTCCTTCTGTCCTCCCTCTCTTGCATGTCCCCTCCCTCACCTCTCCCTTTCCTGCATCCCATTCCTCCCACCTGCCACTGCACTCCATTCTCCTCATCTCCTGCTGCCCCTGCAGAGGCATCCCTGCAGTCAGAGCCTAGCCCCCGGGTGCATATACTGCTGTTGTCTCAGCACTGGCTCCTCTGAACTACTCCTAACCTTTTTATTTTTATTTTGTTTTTTAAATTAATTTCCCTGTAGATTTTAACCACTCCATTTTCATTTACCCATTTTGTTCTTCCTCTCCTCCCTTCCCCACCCTCCTCTTCCTCCCCCTGTTCCCTTTGTCTGTCTGTGTCCATCCCTTACCCTACCACAGAAAACCTCTCCTCTCCCCTCAGTATAAAGCAAGAGCCTCATGGAGCCTCTCTCACCCCTTTCACCCCCACCACGCCGGTCGGCTCTGGGCAGGCTGATCTTCAGCCCTTCCACATGGCCCTTTCAGACGATGCGTCCACGCCTTGCTACAGTGCCTTCCTTCATCATGGTGCCCACTTTGGGCAGTCCAGCAGCCAGCCTCTGATAGCAGGTAACCGGCCTTGGCCACAAACTCAGTGGGGATACTGCAGGCAAGGGGTTCAGTTTCATCTGATGGGTAGACCAGTAAATGCTGCAAGCTCTTTGAGTGCAAGTGGGAACCAGAGCAGCCATGTTCCAGTTCTGTGTATGCAGCACGTGTTCTCAGCTCCATGGAGAGTCATAGAAAGATTTCATACCAGTCCTTAATTTTTTAGAATAAAATGGGAAAAGAAGCTGTAAGTACTTAGAAGAGTGTCCCAGTTGGATGGGTCTGGGACTTACTATAGGAATACTCATACAGCAAAATCCTGTGCTGCCTCATTAGCCATAATGCCCCCAAGTACTGTAGGGTTAGCTGTAGGATTGACAGGGACATTCAGCATGGGTTAGTACAAACTACTAAGCTAGATAAATATACCTGCAGTCGGTGAGCACTGTCACAGGTATGTTGTGAGTAGTATTTGAGTCACCTGGTTTGAGAGTGAGAGTATCAATGTGAGCTGGTGCCTTTCCACAGCAGACCAAGTATTTAAGGAACAGGGCATCACATCTGAATGTCAGGACCAGGAAGAGCGGGTGAGAGACTATAAATCCTTACAGCCAAAGGAATACAGGCCCAGGGTAGGTGGTCTTTAAGGGAAGGAGACAAGTGAAGAAATCGGTTGCAGAAGATAACAGCACTTAGGAGCAGCAGGCTGGAGGGGAGGGTGGTGATCAAGAACAGGTTTCAGGTAGGTATTAGAGGAAACTCCTGTGCAAGGTGACTGAAGCAACATTGCTGCAGAAGCTCAGGGGCAGCTTGGATGAAATGGTGGGTATCATTTTAGATGACCACTGAGGCTGTTGTCACTCCACTGTCAAAGAGTATAATTTGGGCTTTTTCAGAACAGACGAAGTCTTAGTGCAGACCACAGTTCCCAATGCTCAAGAAACACACCTTTGCCTCCTTCATGTTCCTATATTATTTTTCTCTTTTGATCCAACATCCTCCCTTTGTCTTGTCAGGTGAGATTTGCATTTCTAAATCTCCCTGTAGGAAAGCAGCAGGTAACAGCAGAGAAGACTTTTGTGTTCATAACGCCGTCTTGGTCCAATCTTACCACAGCCAATAAGAGTATCTGAGCTCTGGGCACTTCCTAAGTCAAGGAGTCCCATAAAAGACCCTCTCCAACAACATAGTTCTCTGGGGATGCAGTCATATATGACCATCCTCTAGCCTAGAAGGCACTGTGTTTCAGGAGACGCATCTGCCTTAGGACCCTTATGGAGAATTAGAAATAGGAGAAAGTGTTCAAAAGCTCAAACAGTATCATAGTGATGAAGGTGCTGTTCCTCATGTGGAAGGCTTTGGGGGAGGGGAGAATCGCTGGAATTGGAAGCATGTTATAAGCAGGATAGGTGCTAGCTTTGCCATAGCCCTGGAGTACAAGAATTTAATAATCCTGTCTACCTGTTGGTAATAACAGGAGGTAATGGAAGGGGCCTATGTATGTATGTATGTAACAGCATTTTCTCTCTGTGAGACTCATTCATGTTGCTGATACTATACTTGTTTGTTATCTTCCTTTTCAAGATTGGGATTTTGACAGTGATCACTTCCCAATAAATTTTCCACACTGAATTTTGAACATCAGCCTCTGCGTGCTCATGTCTGAATAAAAACACAGGGGCATATGTGCATAGATCGGATAGCAGAGTGAGTGTGTATGTGTTCCCACCTGAACAGAAGTGTCAAAATGAATTAATTTTGCCTGCTGCTACATAATGTTCTCTCTAACTTTTAGTGCCACTGTTTTCTCACTCATCACCTGTTGTTATTTCTCAGGCTAGTCAATAAATGAAACCCAAAGAACATGAATTTTAAGCATAAAACTCTTGGGAAAAAAACCAACCTTCATCTAGCAGGTGTTAATCATCCATCTTAACACACAGCTACCAATCACTAAAGAAATGAGGGTGATAAAAGAGTAGAAGAGTGTAGAATATAAATCCCTGAGGCATTATATATTTATTTTTATCAATATTGGGGAGTGGCTGAAAAATGGCTCAGCCGTTGTCTGGTAGTTCTGTCCCATTATCGAAGAGGAGGTGAGAGAGGAACTGATTAGGATACTGATTAGGAACCTCTTCAAGGAGAAAGAATGAACTTGCATTTCTTTTTTCTTAAGTAAATCACCTCAGTAATCTTTAGTCAAGACCTGTGAAAGCAATGAAGTAGTTAGCCTACCTCTTCCCAGAGTAACTTCCTCCCTTTAGGTTAATGCTCCATGTTGATTAGTTTTTGCTTTGCTGTGTAACTGTTATTTATTTCTGATTGTCCAGTGAAGGTTCATGCTTGTTGCAGGGCCTGCTTTATCAGTTATCATCCTGCTATTAGTAGAGCTAAACCAACTCTTACTCTTCTTCCATTGGCATATCCAAGCATGGTACCAGTGACTCTAGTGGTGTTAATGCTTAACCTGTCACTTCTAAAGGTGATCACACTCCAGCCCTCCAGTTAGGATAGACAGGAGAGACAAAATTTAACAAAGCAACAACAAATGGCACAAACTTCTTGGTGAGCTACAGGTCACCTAGGGAATGTGCAAGGCTTTGGGTGCCTGAAACAGGCTGAGATTTCAGTAGACAGCATTGGAGGTCGAGTTATAAATCTCTCAGCAGCTGTGGGGGAAAGATTATCTTAATTTATTTAGCCTTTTTTTGTTTGTTTGGTTGGTTGGTTGGTTTGTTCATTTGGGGGGGTTTTGGGGTTTGTTGTTTTTTTTTTTTTTCCATTTTGGTTTGGTTTGGTTTTGGCTTGCAACTCACAGCAGCTTCTGAGATGATTTTAGTTCATTTAAATGCAATAAGCACTAACAGAAAATGCCCTTCTGGCTGGCCCATTTTCAGTCTAACAAGTCCAAATGAGGAAATGCCTCTGGCATCAACCAAGAAGCCTACAGCTACACTTCCTAAGAGATGAAAAATAAACTACAGCCATCCACCCAGTCCACACCCCTCTCTACTTTGGTGGAGAAAAGATATCGCTTGTACCTGTGATAAAAATGAAGTGGGACTCAAACTAATTTGCATCATTCTATTATAGTATATATTACGCTAGCACCTGGAAGGAGTCCAACCAGTATTGATCTAACGCTAAGCACTGTGAAAATGTACTAAGTGTGTCCTTGCACCAAAGAGTTTGCAGCATAAGAAGCAGCACAGAGAGGTGAAGTGACTTGCCTAAAATCATCAGCAGGTGAATGACAGAGGTGGGAAGAGAGGCAGGCACAGAAAACTCCTGGATCACTTTCCAATGCCTTGTACATAGATCATGCCCTAAAGCAACATCCTACCAGTTTTGGAACTGCATCCACTGCAGATAGACAGGACTTTAGCTACTCTGGCAGAGAATATGCTACCATTCTCTGTGCAGCTCAGGGCCATTTTGATTTACTTAAAATAGATCCAAAATCAACAATGAAACAAAATTTTTTGAGCCTCACAAAGTTTTAACACCCATCCTTACAGTATGAGATCGAAAGTGCCACGATCTTCCCCCAGAATTTCCAGTGGATGAACAGCACTTATGCAAGAGAAGGCTGCACAGCACTTGCCTATGAAGCTGCTAGTCATGTGACAGTGGGACAAAAGGTGGTATCAAATCAATATTGAAAGATCTTATCCCTACTGACCCCCTGTCCTGATTCTTTCCCTTTCCAGGTCGTGATATGGCAAGCACCACCTTACCTGGCTACCCACCCCATGTTCCTCCAACTGGACAAGGCAGCTACCCAACCTCAACTCTTGCAGGAATGGTTCCTGGTAAGTCAGCCCCCAGACTTCAGTAATGGTGCATACGTGTTTGAACAGTATACTAACATCGTCATCAGGTGCCTATAACCATTGCAGCTAAAAACATTTTTTGTAACGTGTCTCTTTTCCCCTAGTAACTGATTCACTGCTGCTGTGGGCAACTAGCTATCTATAACCTGTGGCAATTAATTGGTAATTCATACCTTAGTATTCATTAACTAATGTAATTATTTTCCAACAACCCGTGTAGATTATTACATACTTGTTCATGGCTCAGGATATTCAGCTATCCGCTAACTTAGGGTAACAACTTACCTTCCATCTAAAGCAAAGGCATCAAACTGAAAATCATCAATGGTAATTTAATACCCACAATTTTTGGAGACCCACTGTCCATAGCCTAAACTAGCTAAGAACTAAGCAATTATTAATAGCATTTCAGGAGAAACTAACAATCCACTTTTAACAACCAACTACCTACCCACCTCCTGTTTGTAAGACTCTGCCTCCAATCCAAGAAACTACCTACCTAATCCTACATCTAAAGGCAATCTGTTTCTTTGCTACCCAATTTCTTTGGAGAAGTATCTTCTATTGGCATATGGATTTTCCCTCTGTTTAGAGAGAAGAGAGGACTATTTACCATAGGGCAATTGAAGAGTTTATTACCCCAGGCTCTATTCCCCGTTCCTCAGATGACAGTTATCCCCAGCAGATAAATGAAGAGGCAGGATTGTTTCTCAGCCACGGTAGCTCAGAATTCAGAACTTCATCTGCCACTGACTTCTGCTTCTGTTACTGCCCTGGGTTGTGAGTCATGACAGCTAATGGGCAGGTACACAGTCCATTCTGCAACCTCTACAACTGAAAGGATGACTCCAGAACCAAAGCAGCAGAAAACTGAGGACAGAAAGCTCTTAAATCACTATGATATAATTTGCCAGGGCTCAAGAGTGAAAAGCCTAAACTTAACCCTCATCCAAATCTTAGAACAGCTAGCTAAATGAACATACACTGCAGCAACACAAGTGAAAATATCTCCGATAGAAACGTTTGGAGGTTGAAGTCTTAACATCTTTAAATGACAAATCACTGCTCATATACCATGAAGTACTGGCTAATGCCCATGGTCGCATTCCACAACAAGCTACCTACTGCTTATGATCCTAAGGTACAACAAAATATCAGGCTATGCTGTGAAGATGACGTGATTGATTTCCAGATCAGGAAAAGATAGTGGATTGATCCCTTCCTCACCTCCGCTTTAGTCCCTTGGTATAGCTGACCAGCTTGCTGGACTTCTGGGGTGGTGCAGAGTTGGTGAATTTTAGGGCATCTCCTTCTACACTAAGTTTTTCAGGTGGATAGTTTGGCTCCAGAATCACAGAAGCAGTAAGACAATACAGATCAGTTTAAAAAACCCACACAGTAACAGTAGGTAGACTCAGTCGTCAATATTTAAGTCAGCTGTAGGTCAAAACTTAGAGAAGATCATGGCATATAGAAATTATTAATAACATCAAAGTAGCCAGCTCTTTGAATAGGTACTTCTAAAAAATACTTTTCTCAGCTTCTGACTGTTCTCAGCTGTTCAGTGACTGCTACGCAAGTTTAACATCCTCATCACAAGGATAATACTGAAATCTAAACTGGGACAAAAAAACTAAGGCCACTAATCACAGGGATCACTTATCCAAGAATAGGGTATTTCACCTCCTTGATGTGGAGGCTACTTATTTGTAAGATGGCAATGTCTCCAAAACCACACGGATGCCCCCAAAAAGAAAACAAACAGGATGATAAAGATAAAAGTTGAGTTATACTTCAAAGCAAAAAAGATTATTCAAGTCAAATGGGTACCTTTACATTAAATCTGATGTCAACATGCAATTAGAGGAAGTTTTTCCAGTAGCCTACTTGGGCATCCTGCAGTAGTTACTGCATCTTTCCACAAAGCATGAAGTTCTGGTTGTTTCAGTCCTACCCACTGGTCAGACCCAACCTGGCAGCCCTTCTCTTCCTGTCTTCTAATGTGACTGAAGCCAACAAGCTGGAGAGATAAAGAGGCTTCCTTGGAAGGAACAGAAGACTTGGCTTTAATGGGTCAATGCTGCAGATCTCTGTAGCTAGGGGCCAAAAGTGAATGTCTGTGGAAGGGTACAGAGATATAATAAGGTAAGAATAGAGCAAACATGTATTGGTACTTTATCAAAAGATCTCCCAGCCTCCAACAAGTTGCAGCTCAGAGACTTCCTAAGCGAGACTTAGTATCGTTCTATTTAATCATTACACACTCTCAATAGGTTTCCCCTCCACAAACTTGAACCGTGTCACTTGAACCCCTGTAAGCCTTTAACATCTGTAGCAACCTATGGCAAGAAGTTCTGTAGCTTAAGTACATATTATGTGAAAACTACCTCCCTTATTTGTTCTGAACCTGCCACCTGCTAGGCTCACTTCATGCCTCATGGTTTCTGTATCAGAAGACTAAACATGCCAAGATTTAAATACAGATACCAAGAAATACTGTTAGTAAAGGTTCCCAGAGCACGGATTGCACAGAATATAGGCCTCATGAGATTGATCCTCTGTGTTTACTTGCAACCTCTGTTAAAAGTCCAGGTTGAATGGAGAAAACATATGATCTTGCCAACGGCTTGTCGCATGCCCCCAGGCCAAAAAAGATCAGGGGCCAGTGCTTTAACTACATTGAAAACAAGAATCAGCAAAATGACCACTCAGGGAGTATGTTTAGGAAGCATACTGACGTGCAAACAAACCTTACTGTCCAGATGTGAGTGAATATGAGAAAGAACCTCTGTCTTCTCTAGATAAAGGTGCAGAGCTAAAAATAGAACTGGTCAGAAACCAGAATCTCCAACCCATACAAAACTCTGATTCTTTGACATTTGTTTTCATCTTGCATTGGTATGAGGAGTCAGAATCTTGAAATAGTTCAATTTGCAAACATCAGGATGAAACATTTCAATAATGTCAACATGTTCTAGATGTCAAGACATATTAAAGTAATGAAAGAATTGAAAGGAAATTAAATGAGATGAGAAAGGCAAAATGAAACAAAACAAGAAAGTTGAAACATAATACTTTGTTTCAATTTGCAATCATTTCAGAACTTTTCTTTCCAAAACTCCATTGAAGCTGACAAGCTTGTGAAAAACATTCTCATTTCAATGAGACAGCATTTTCCACTGGAAGACTGTTTCTGAGAAGATTGTTTGACCAGTGCTAACCAAAGCTGCTCTGTTCTATCCGTGACAACCTTTCACTAGACTTCTACTTGTGTAATCTAGAGAAGAGCTTGCCTCCAGTAGCAGCACATCCATGCAACATGGCCAGTCATGCATTCAAGTATCTCTGGGGTTTATGTGGATAGTGTGGTAAGATATATATCCTGCATCTGCCCTTGCCTGTAACTGCAGGTCCCAGGCTGCAGACATGGAGGAAAGCCAGTAGTCCCTGAGCACACACTTGAAAAACCAGCGGTTAGCCACTCAAAGAAGGATGAATCAGGTACTGTGCTATGCACTTAACCTGTGTGTTTGAGAGATGTTTCCTGCACAGGTAACAGAGCACCTTTGCTCCCTGCCTCAATTCTTCCTCTTTCCCAGAAATGCCATCAAGTTTCTGCAAACTGTTTTGGAGAGGTGAGCATCCACTGAAAGGAAGTGCAGTTTACTCAGAGCAGTGCAGAGCCTGCAGAGGTCTGGTGATGGCAACGGCAGGGAGTCGTTAAACAGAATCCAATGTTGATGAGGAAATTACACTTGTTTCATTAGTGATCAAGGAAAGCGATAGCTCAGTTCCTCTTGGTCACAGTTGAGCTCAAAAGCTCATTATCCTGCTGCATGCATGCTTTCACTCCTCGTCAATAAACACTGTTTCCAGTGGCTGCCCTCCCTCCTCCCCAGCCCTCTGTAGCTGGGGCTCTTTCTCCTCTACTTAACCCGTGCTTTAGGAGCACTAGAAACAGTTTAGGGTGACAACTCAGAAGATGGTGGGAGAGAAGCCTTGAAATGCCAGAACTTCCTCCCTCTGTGCAGTGAAGATGTTTCTATGAGGCATTTCAAAGTAGAAATTCTCATTCAGGTATTTTTTTTCCTTCTTATTGGGGACAAATGCATTCCTTTATATCCCACAAGTAAGTCACTTTGGTAGAGATTAATTAGGATTATGCACTGCTTTTGCCTTTGTATCCTGTCCCACAGTGTCTTGGTCACCTTGGCAGGTTTCACCTACTCCTTCCCAGCAAGCTGTCAGAATTTCCAGTGCAGGATGTTTCTAGTTCTGGAAATATGCTGACTTATTATCATTAAAAGAGTATTTAGCAAGGTCTGTCACACAAATGAGGTTTTATGTTGAAACTAAAAGCTACTGTGACTAAAACACTTTGGATGGTGATTGTTTTTGATACATACACCTTTTCATACTGACTACTTTGGCTATTACCCCGAGTGTCTTTAAAAATCTCGTCAGACAGATTCTTCTCAAGTTTAAAGCAGTGCAAATCCCCTGACTTCAACAGACTTGATTTCCACCATCTGAGAACCTGTGGTTTGGCTTTAACTCTCCAGTGAGGGGAGATTTGCAGAGATTACAGTATAATTAATTGACATTTCTTCGGTAATTGTATCACAGGCATCCAGCGGGTCTTGCATTGCCTTCTTTCCTTATTCCATGGTATCTAGCAGGAACCCCAGATGCTTTCCAAACACTTCGATTGTAACAACTCCACCCCTTGCTCAGGGCAGACCAGAAGCTAATAGTCACGCTGTTCACTGTCTTTTAAGTGCATAATGCCACACCACTCAGATTGCACTAATTGTCCCCAGTCTCTTGGTACTAGATTAAATTGAGGTTATGATAAGGTAATAGCATGTTTTTACTTAATAGAATCATACATTTTTAAGTTTTGGGAGATTTATTTATTTTGAATGCAGCACCACACCTCCTCAGTTACCAAATAAGTTACCTTAGCCCTGCACAGCCTTCTGTAAAGCAAGGAGACTCAGTTCCTTATGCACAATAAAACTGAATATTTAAGACCCTACAATATTCAAATCTGGGGTCAGAGTCTTATCAGGTCACAAGTATTTTGGCTTGGGTCCATTTTACTGAATGTGAAAAACGGAGCTATAGCTCAGCTTGCCTTTCAGATTTAGAATAGTACCTAAAGCAGTAATCATTAGAAAATTATTTTCTGGAACTGGAATGCAGCAACTTTTCTCTGTAACTCACTAACTAAGCACAAAGATGGGTTTAATGATATATGAATCAGTTTTTTGACTAACACCATCTATATAAAGAAAGATTCATATGTTTTCCATTTTGGTTTATATTTAAGCCCACCCTACTCTCACTGTACTTGTAGAGAAATTACTTTTCTCCAAAAACACATCATCACCTTCAGTACCCTACGAACAAAACTTAGCAGTACATATTGCCATCAACAGCCCTGCTAGTTCCAGTGAGTTCATTGTGAGCTTGTCCCATCGAGCTCCCATGCCTACTGTCTTGAATCTATTGCAGAATCTTACATTTTATTTAAAAGAAAGATGATGGTTAATTGCAGAAAAAAGCTGGCATGTGCTTTACAATCCTACCGCAACCTGAGAATCAGAAGTCAGAAGGCAACAAAAAATAAACCACTTTATTTATTTGTGTTATTGAATTTCATTATTTTAAACTAATTTCTTGAGTCTGAAGAGGCCAATCTTACGATATTTTAATTGTATGCGTAGGCAACATTGCACTGAACAAACACTACAGCGTTCTGAAGAGCACAGTCCCAGCTGAGCAAGAAAGCTACACGCACTAGTTTTTCTGCTGGCATACGGATTCAGCTTGAACACTAGCTTGATGGAATAGTAAACAAAAATCTTCACTCTTAACTGTATTTCACACCTTCCTTGGTTTCTTCCAGGGAGCGAGTTCTCAGGCAACCCCTACAGCCACCCTCAGTACACAACCTACAACGAGGCTTGGCGGTTCAGAAACCCTGCATTACTAAGTGAGTATCTCTTTCCCAGAGCACACCCCCAGCCTCGCGCTCCTTCTGTTTGTCTCTTTGTTTTATTTTCTTTTTTGTTTGTTTATGGAAAGGGCTTTCAAGTAGTTAGGCAGGTGAGAGGCCTTTTTTCCTCAGTCTCCAGTCCAGTGTCTAGATAGGTGTATACCTCACATGTGTTTTGTATCTGTTCTAAAGCTGAATCCTCTTTCCTGAGACCGTTCAGAATTCCAGTTCAGCATGGGCTTCTCCATGAACTGCATCCACAGTTTATTCCAGATTATATCAAAAGTTAAACTCTGGTTCTGTTGTTCTCTCAGGCTGCCATCCACATCCATTCAAGGTATGATTAAAACTCCAGATGAGGCTTCACTCCTTTCCCAAGCTAAACCCAGAGTCAGTTCCTGGGGATATGGAAATCCCACAGAAGTTCTTCCTGTTGGACCAGTTGGAACTGTGTCTAGGGTGGGAGACAGGCTTCATAACTACATTTGTAGTAGCCGGTAGAGTTTTCTAGAAAGGCTATATCCATCCCCAGTAACTAATATGCCTAGAAATAGTCGGGCTTTTTTCAGAGGGGAAAAAACCTCCCATAAGACCGTATCCTCTAACACAACATTTATTTGCAAGGGAATGCGAAGAGATTTATTATATGTAAAATAAATCAGCTGTGATTATTACCTACATATTTACTGAGGTTTAACAGCTGAATAGATGCATGTTTTATTCCACTGTTGTTAAACCTCAGTAAATGTGATCTTAATAATCAATCACTATTTAACACACATTCAATAACTGTCTAGAGAGCTTTCATTCCAAATGTGACCAAAATCCCACACAATAAAACATTGTAGTTTTGTTTCATTTCACCCCTCCTGGTTTTAAAAGTGACCCATTATACTTTGTAAGGTATGCTCAGAACATCTGGCCCTGACACTTCCCTTGTGGCTGCAGATCAGGTGTGGTGTATTTGTGCTGCAATGCTCATAGGCTTCCCTCTCAGTAACTTACTGATGGTCAGAAGGAGCAAAAGAATTTCCTTTCCATTGAGGGGCTTCAGAGCCAGAGGCCACAGTAGCATCTCTCCACTGAAACGCAGCCCTCAGCTGGCCTCAACTTACTGCATTTCCCTAATCCCATTAAGAGCCAAGTTCCCAGGTTTGTTCTTTAGGTTCCTTTCGTTTTCTTCCTTCCTTTCCTTTTCCTTTCAGTTCTCCTTTGTTTCTTTTCTTTTCTTTCTTTTTTTTTGCTTTGTTTTATTTATTTATTTTTTTTTTTTTACTGTTTGTCCTTTCAACCAGTCCATTCTTCTCCTGTGTTAACTTTCAGGTTCCCCTTATTATTATAGTGCCACATCCCGGGGCTCCGCACCTCCCACTGCTGCCGCTGCCTATGACCGCCACTAGTTACCATGGAAACCACATGAAACTGCAGGGCGACAGCTTAGGCCTCCACATTGTACCTGTCTGATCACCTCCCTCCATCCCTAGGAAGGGTGAAGAGACTTTCTCCGTTCCTCCCCACAGTCCAGTTCCTTCTTCTTTGCCATGAAGGCGCCGGACCAAGCGCTCACCACACAAGACTGAGACCCCTGCCCTCTGCCACTCCCCCCACACCGGGAAGAGCCTGCGGCCAAGTGGCTTCTCCTGCCGGAGCCCTCCACCGCGCCTGGGCAGAGTGCAGCCACACAATGGCCCCTTGGCTTCCAGGACTTCAGGGGGACTGGGAAGCAATGCAGCTGGCAACCGTTGCCTTACAGGACCCCCTTCCAGGAGCAGTGAGGGCTGGGGGAGGCAGGGGAGAATGCCGCCCATGAAACACTGTTCCCCAAAGATATGCTCTTCTGTGGTGGACTCTTCAACATGTGCAACGCGTGATCTTCACCCTGTTTCCCAGGACAGAGGGAATAGTCTGGCTAGAGCAGAGATGGCAGTACAGAGACCTGGCCCATCTGGCAATGAAGAAAAGGACCAAGTAACTATCTGCACCCCACGAGGGGTTCTCTGTGCACCTCATCCCCACTTCCCAGCAAGGCTTCCCCCATAGTTGGCTGCACCTCACACGTGGTGACTTCACAGGCCAGAGCTGGGAGGAACCTCACACATATACCCACAATTTCTGTGACACACAATCAGCTCAGACAGGAGGATGGAGCAACATTTACAAACCAACCAACGAAATGAAGAAATATATAAATAGATATATAAATATAACTGTGTTTTTATGCTTTGTCATGAAGGTCTGTAAAAAGGAAAACAAACAAACAAACAAAAAGAACGAATCCCCAATTTTCTAAAAAACCCAAGCAAACAAAAACAACAAAAAAACAAAAATAATAATTAAAAAACCCTACAAAAATAAAACTCCAAGTCCCATCCCTCCCCGCCACCTGAATGGCAGACGAGTTCCTCTGACGCTTGATGCTCCTCTTTCACTCTAGGGTTTTGTTTCCTTTCTGTTTTGCACTACAATGGGATGGTGGTATTGGAGAGGATTGGATGCCAGCTCCACCCCTGTTGCCTCCTCCTCCTCCCCCTTTCCCAAATCCTGTCTCTGGGGAGCAGTGTGGACAAGTCACATCTGACAAAGTTACCAAACACATCAGTCGACAAAAAAGCACTCTGAGTCAACAAACGTTTTCCATGTCACTGGTTGGCAAACAAAGAAAACAAGCCCAGCTGCGCTCTAACCGCGCTGTGTGGTGGAAAGTCTGGGGCTTCATGTGGGCCCATCTGATTGCCCTCTGGACAGCTGAGACTGAGATGGACAAATTCAGGATTGGCTGGGAATATTGCTTGGTTTCCTAGCCCTTAGCCTCCACATCTTTTACCTTAACCCCTGTACCCGTGACGACTTCAGTTCACCCACATCCCGACTTCTGCAATTTTAGATATGCCCAACACCCATTCTCCAGATCCCCACTGCTGGTGACAACAGCCTCATTATTCTGTGCCCAACACTAATTTCCTAACCACTATAGCCTTGCTATATGGGCCCCTTTCGATTCCCAGTCCATCTGCTCATACATCTACTAATTTATAGGCCTCCATTCAAAGCCGTATGCCTGCATCCCACGAGCCAGTCCCAACATACAGCCCCATCTTTTCATCTTCAATCCTATATTGTGCGCCCTAATATTTACCCCTTATCCCAAATGCTCACCTGATGATTCTCTAGGGATTCTCTGCTCTTTTTGGTTCCCAAGTGACTGGCAAACACTGTTCTGCAAAAGGCTAACTGTCAATAGAAACGCTTATTACTCCTGTATTGTCAGCAAACTCATAAACTGTTCCTTGCACTGACAATTCCTAAAAACTACTCAAAGAAAACATGAAGGCAGCTATAGCCTGTCCCCAGGGCATCAAGTCTGCCAAAGTAGATCCTTGTTGTTTTAGAGAGGTTTCAGATAAAACTTGTGGGCTACTGTCCATGGACAAAGACAGGATTGAGAATCCAACCCCTGAAGGGCATAAAAGTGAACAGGAGAGCAATCCGTACAGCCAACATTATGTATAAAATCAAAAGTTCCAAGCCTCAGAGGAGATGTGGTTGTGGACTCGGTATTCTGTCTCCAAGTTTAACTTGTATGTATGAAATTCATCATCAGTAAACAGCTGTGTTGATCCCAAAGGCCCCCTTCACCTAACACTTTTAGCCCTCGCATGGCTCTAGCTGATTATAGGTCTGTGTCTTCTTTAATAGGGTGCCCAAATAATAACAGTGTTTGGGGGACGTTTACATGGAAGATACAGAACTAAAATCTGTTCCTGTACAGTACAAAATCAGAGGTTACTCCTAATCTATGAAAAGTGTCATTCTGCACATATTACCTCTGAGTAACCTGCTGCAAAGAGCAGTCACCAAGACCAGAATTTGGCCTGTTATCTCATCTTATATGAGAAGAAAATTCTGAATAACTTCTAAAAAATCACTTTCACCACTCCTGTTTTCCTCTACAGACACCAGATAGATGCCAGACCCTGTTAGTAAAGTCTCCCTTTTAGTCTCTCAGTACAGCCATTGCTCTATGTGTGCACCACCCAGTTTCATTCAGCAGGTGGTCAGAGCAGAGGCACTACATCCCAGGATGAGCAAGGAGAACCTCATGAGGAGGCTAGAGAAAAGAAGACTGTCACACCTCACACTTGACAACCTGCAGTCTAGGGGCCACCTCAATAGAAGCTAGCAGCTCAGAAATGCTTATTTTTATAATGGTGTTTCACTAAACTTGAGACATGAGCTTGGGTATGAAAGCAGGATGTGGTTGGCTTACTCATAGCTGGCTTGATTTGACCCTCGGAGAGCCAATTCCATTGGTGGAACTCAGTTACTTTTATTGGTAACTCCACCGATAAAAGAGGATTTCCACCAGGCATGACTTGTCTGGAAAGTTCTTAAGTATGGTATGTAGTTTGACCAGGAAAATGAAAATGAAAGCAGAATTATGCAAAGGACTGGGCAGTCTAATCCTCTTCCACCACCATCTGTAGACCCCCATGCGAATGTACTGAATTACATTTGCCAAAGAGTTTCTTGTGTTGGTTGTTTTGATTTACAGTCGGTGGATGCATTGTAAAGCAGTATTATAGCTAAAGTCTAGTAGCTGACACAGGGATTTATGTGGTGATATTATGCAGAAGAAAACCATCAATATTCATATAGATTCCATTAGACTGGACTATGCAGGAAACGCAAAAATTCTACCAATTATTTAATATTATGTTATTTGCAAAAACAATTGCTGCTTTGTAGGAAGATAATGTGTGTAATGTGAAGGCAATTCCTCTTGTATATAAGTTCATCTCCATCTTCATCATGGTAGTTATTAAAACAGCCTCATCTCATCCTGTAGATAAGGAACACACTGTCTGTACTGTGCAAGTCTTGTTGTGCTCACTGAAAACAAAACGATGTGTTCAATAAAGCACAGCACAAATCAGAACCTGAGGGAACAGCCAAAACTTGGAAAGACCCCTTCCCCAACAGGCCAACAGTTACTTTCTTATAGGTGGAAGTTTTAATTTTTTCTTTTTATTTTATTTTTCTTTAAAAGGTTTCACAGGAAAAAATGATAAAGAATTGGAGAAAGAAATCACTATGCAAAATCCAGTGAAGTCTACGACTCACATTTCTCTCCTCCATTCTGCTGCCTCTTCTGTCTCTCCAATTTCTTTCTCACACCCTCTTTCCACCCCATTTCTATCCTTCTCTTTTATTATTGTTAATTCCCAGTGCATTTTTCTATCCAGAGAGGGAACAGCATTACTGATATGAGAGTAGGTACCTGGGACCTCAAACTCCCCAGTTCTTGTGACCCTAGAGAACCTTTGTCAAGTCCAATTTCCCCCCTATGCCTCAATTCCAATCTTCTGTAAAGGGGGATAACAGTAGTTCCTAGTTCACAGGGGGATTGTGCAGCTGAATTAATTAGCACCGGCTCAGTGCTTTGAGATCCTGGAAAGAAAATTCTATCACAGTGTTAAGTATTATTCTGAATAATAATTAATGTTTCCATTACATTTCTCTCTTTTCCTTTTCCCCACAAATCATTATTTGTTTCTTTATTCTTCTTTCTTAGCTCTCCCTTCACTTCTTTCTCCTCCTATCATTCATAGCTCTGCTGCTACATTTGCTTTATCTAACGGACCAAACAGAAACGTTGTGTGACTGGATCTCCTTCTGTCACCGTTTCTTTGCAGGGGAAGAATCTCCTGAGCTCTCACATGCCATGCTTCACTTGAAGCAACAAGGACCATGGCATTTAAAACTGGCCAGCACTTCTGAGTCCTACTCTCTGAAGCTCCTTTTGGCCCAATGGCATGTGTGGTGGGTTGCACAGGGCAGATGCATTAAAGCTGACACCCTTCTGACCTGTAAATCTGTTGGGGAGGGTTGGTGGCAATTGGCCCTGCTGTGGAAACAGGGAGAAGTCTGTATGCTTCAAACTCAGAATAAGACTTCAGAATTAATCACAACATGAATGTGAGGATGTTGAACAAACAACAAAAGCAAAACAAAAAACCCTGCTCCTCTTTCTCCTCTTGAGTATTATATATGCACATAAACATTTTCCTAAAGGAATTTTTGGTTTGCTGAACTGTTGGAAAACCCTCACCCTTTCGCCCCTAAGGAAAAGCACCCCTCTGGGGGAAAAAATAAGAATCCTAGCTCCCCTCTTTGGCACTGACAGAATGAGGGCTTCTGAGGGACCACACAAATACCACAGTGTGCTTCTTGGCTGGGCCCAGTATGGTGGCAAATTTGCAAGGCAGAAGGAGGGACCAAACAATGACAATTACAGAACTGACGACAAATCCAACCCTAAGCAGCTCTGCTGATGCTTTCCAGCCTAAGCTAGGTGTGAGAGTGTGGAGGGGAGGGGGCCAGTGCCAGGTACAGGGTCACA